CGGCTGGTTTTGCAGCCACGGCATTCGGAAAGACATCGTCAGCGACCTCGACACTTGTTTCATGTCATCCTTTCGGACGACACTCATGGTGGAATTTGGCACCAGCATAAAACCGAGTTCCGCACGGCATCCTCAAACGGATGGGCAAACGGAACGTGCGCACCAGACTGCGCAGATGATGCTCCGCACACTCATCCGCCCGGATCAAAAGGACTGGGTTGACCGCATTCCCAACATCGAGTTCGCCTACAACACTTCAGTGCACCCGACAATCGGCATTACTCCATTTGAGTTACATCACTCTGGACAAAAGGCCACATCTTCGCAAACATTTTGCTTCCACGAGCTACCGACATCGGCGTCGCTTGCTCTCCCGCTTCTACACGGAAGTACAGGGATCTGTTGGCCAAAGCCCGCACAAATATGCAAAAGGCTCAGGTCCGTATGTAGAAGCAAGCGAACCAGCATCGCATCCCATGTCCAATGCGCGCTGGCGACCTTGTTTGGGTCACCTCCGAGGAATTCGCGCTCGAGCAGCACGTCTCGCGCAAACTCCTCCCTAAGTGGTTTGGGCCATGGAAGGTCACTTCAGCAGCTGTCAACGACCCTGTGGGTCCCTCCATAATCGAGATTCCCCTCCATCTAACAGTCCACCCTATATTTCACGCTTCGAAGCTGGCGGTCTACACTCCAGCCTCACGAACGGAATTCCAAGGCAAACGGTCCCACAACCCTCCTTCGATGGATGGTCACCAGGAGGTCGACCGCATCCTCGCTCATCGCAAGCACGGCAACAAGCCGATGCACTACAAAGTTACATTCAAGCAATGCGATCCCGACAACACACACCGGATTTCACGAGCTGACCTGAAGGCGATAACACCGCTCATCTTTGCGCATTGCGAAAAACAGCAACTTGCTAAGGAAGCTGCCCAACCCGCCCTCCCCGTACGGACATCGAACAGACAGCTTCGCCCTCGCAGTTAGCTCAATCTTCAAAGGGGGGAGCGTGTGGCATACTAATACCACATGGGCCCCAGTTAGGGCCCAGTTCTATAGTAGGCACGGTTTAGGCCTAGGTACCGGGTCACGACGGTCCCAACTAGGTCCAGGTAGGGATAGGAACCGTCAGTTCAGTTTAGGGTCCAGTAGGCCTCGTTTAGACCCCACCAGACCCAACGGATAGTTGGTTAGGCCAGGTGCCGGTCCATTGGTAGGACCGACCGGCGGCGCAGTTTTAGGTGCCACTTTTCAGATTTCAAATCGGATCTGAACCGTTGGCCCGATCAACGGTCCGGCCCCGAAGGCACTTAGTAGGACTGAGGCCGACCCAACACTATATCAGTTGGGTACCAGCCTCAGTCGGTAGGTTAGTGGCGAGGATGTTAGTCTACAGGATTAGCGCAACACTTCAACGTTAGCAGCGGAGCAGTGGAGAGAATCAGCGCAGCGTGGAGGAGAGATAGCGCAGCGGCAAATTAGCACAGTGGTGGAGGAGTGCCAGCCTCCGGCCAGCCCGCGGCCCAGCGCCAACCGTGCAGCGCCATAGCTGCCTCGCGCATGTATCAGGGATAAAGGCCTTGCCTTTCCTCCCTCTTCTTCCTCCTCCACTCTCTCTCTCTCTCTCTCTCTCTCTCTCTCTCTCTCTCTCTCTCTCTCTCTCCTCCTAACCTCTAAGTCTAAGTCTACTTTTGGGTTACTCCTACTGGACCAGTACGAGTATGAAGGATGGTTACGAGTTCTGATGATGTTGGAGATAGCAACATTGAGACTGCAGGTTGAGGACTACTTTGGGATCTGATTTCATCTACCTCTAGAGATATACCTCGACATTGTGAGATGGATATCTGAGACACTATGAGACTCGATGTTCGTGACATTTCAGATTTTCGCTATTTTTGACATTTTGAGATACTATCTTTGGAAACATTGAGTTGACGTCATCTTCCCTCTCCTCCCCTCCATTCATCCGTGTTTGAGAATTGACCCTGGCCTTTTCTTCTATGTCCAAGGCCAGGGCTTCCCACCACCGATGTATGTTTGTGAGTGTTTCATTGCAGTCTAAGTCAGGTCTGAGTAAATCCATGTATCTCATGTCTTCTGCTGTATTTGTACTTACTCTGTAATATTTGGTCGGTTATGGGAATCTGCGCCATACTTATGATTGTGTTTCACGAGTATGCAAAACACACACACACACACACACACACACACACACACACGTGTAGTAGTGTATATTTAGATGTTCTAGCCGAAGATTCATTCGATTTTGCTCATCCTTTCTATGGAAGTAGCGTGAGGCCAGCCGTGGGGTTAAAGTAGCAGCTGCTTGAGCATTTGACAAACTAACACCATCCATTTCAAGCATAATTTGTCCTTGGGAAACACGAGCAATCCAACCTGCAGGGTTTCCTTTTCCTTTTCCCATCCTTACTTTTGTAGGTTTGCTGGTAATAGGAATATCTGAAAAAACTCTCACCCATATTCTACCATTTCTCCGAAATTTCCTGGTGATGGCACGACGCGCCGCTTTAATTCCTTGATATGATATGCGACCTGCAAACTATTTTTCCTAGTATTATGCCAATGTTCATTGCAATACCATCATTTGCTCTATTATATTCCATGGATGAGGTAGTAGATCCTGCAATTACTATCAAAGTGATTGGACATCAATGGTATTGGACTTAACACTGTATTGTCATTTTATAGTACATGTGAATTTTCTATGTCTACTGATTGATTCTTGTATTTAACAAATATTTTGAGATCCGCTATTGTATTTCTATCATTTGTATTTATTTTTTATTCATTTAATATTAATAAGTATCTATAAGAATTATGTCTCGTAGAGAAATTCCCATAAAACTTGAGACTTACCTGTTGGCCGGTGCGGAACACAACCAATTGATGGAAATCTCTCTCTCTCTCTCTCTCTCTCTCTCTCTCTCTCTCTCTCTCTCCCCCCCCCCCCCTCTCTCTCCCCCTCTCTCCCCCCCCCCCCCCCCCCCCACCCCCCCCCCCCCCCCCCCCCCCCTTCCTCCCTCCATTCGATGAACCACGGATCAGATATGAGACTGAACGGAGTAGATACTTCGCTTGATCGTGTGGGGGGGAGGATCGATATGAAACTGATCGAAGCAGATACTACACTTGATCGTTTGTGGGGGAAAGGAGGGGAGGCGCATAGTTAGTTAGGTTAGGTTTTCTCTCTTTCTCTCTCTGTCTCTTGCTCGTTCTCTCTCGCACGCGCATGCTTTTTTTTTAATTAAAGAAAAAGGTCTCGATGAACCACGGATCAGATATGAAACTGAACAGAACAGTTAGTACCCTTGATCGTATAGGGGGTAGGATCGGATATGAAACTGAACGAAACAGATACTACACTTGATCGTGTGGGGGGGTGGGGGTTGAGACGCATAGTTAGTTAGGTTGGGTTCTCTCTCTCTCTCTCTCTCGCTCGCTCGCTCGCTCGCTTGCTCGCGCGCGCGCGCTCTCCCCCTCTTGTGTGCACGCGCTCGGGTGCTTTCTTTTTTTTTTTGAAATCGATGGACCACAAATCAGATATGAAACCGAATGGAGCAGATACTACGCTTGATTGTGCGGGGAGGAAGGATCGGATATGGAACTGATCGAAGCAGATACTGCACTTGATCATGGGGAAGGGAAGGGGGGGGAGGCGCG